ACATTCTGTGGGATCACCTTTCTTTGGAATGGGCACAAATATGGATCTCTTCCAGTCAGGAACTTCACTTCTTAGGGAAGTAAAAGGTTACAATTCAGGATCATAAATGACTCAGAATACAATTCTTTGATCAGGGCAGCCTCTTCTCAGCCATGCCTTATAGGCAGTTCTCTCTCTGTGCCTTGGGCCCCAGCCTCTTGACCCAGCCTCTTGACCCAGCATCTACCCTGCAGGGGCAAGTGTTCAAAGCTCTTTGAGCTCTGCCAGTAAGCACCCAGGGGCACTCCACTCCATCAACAAGGCTCGATTCAAAGGTGCTCAACTCTAGGACAAACCTAGCTCCACCAAGTGCCTGGAGGCAACCCACTTTGGCCTCCTGCCCAAATGCACTCAGCTTTCTTGCTCCATGGGCCAGGAAGCCCGCTGCTGTCTCCTGCCACTCTCCTATAGGTCTCTTGGTTCTACTCCTGCCATTTCTCAGCTACAGATTGTTGCCATCTCTCATTTCCATTGTTTCTTTCTCTGTCTCTTGGGTCCAAAGGACATGCTCCACCCCCATCTCTTCTTCTTGGTGGTTGTCAGGTGCCCCCCCTGCCCCACTTTGGAGTTGGTTCTCTTTTTTTTTTTTTTTTAAATATATGCTATTTTTTTAAAAAAATTATGTAATTTGGGTGAAAGTTTATAGAGCAAATTAACTCTCCATACAGCAGTTCACATACTCTTTGTCTCATGACACTCACAACAATGTACCCCAATGCAACAACTCCCCTCCCACTTCCTCCTGATACTTACCTCTTCCCTGTGGTTCTCTTTTAAGCCTAAAAGGATTGTAAAACTTGACCAATCCCCTCATTAGGGGATTTATTTGCATACTCTCACCCACACAAGGTTGCTATGAACTTTATTTGTATAATTAGCAACCTATCCAATCCCCTTGGTGGGACACAAGCACCTTATTTGCATGTTGTTGTTGTTGTTATGCATGGTGGAGTCAGACCGACTCATAGCAACTCCTCCTTGGGTTTCCGAGCCGGTATCACTACAGAAGTAGATTGCTCAACCTTCCTTGCGAGGAGTGGCTGGTGGGTTTGAACCACATAGTCTTCCCCAATCTTTCGGTGAGAGTGTTAAAAGCCTATGGCTGGAAGGGCCATATTAAGTAATTCACTGTATCACATATACCACAGTGGATGTTAAGAACTTGATAATTGAAGTGTTTTGAGTTGGGTTGCCTCGAAGCAGATTTTGAGATGAGCATTCCTATGTGTGTCGTTTAGTGAAGAAATCAGTAAGAGAGCAAGGGAAGTAGGAAAAGGAGAGGGAAGGACAAACTGTGGTTTCAGATGTAATGCAGCTTCAGACAGATTTCATAGGGTGACTGGACAATCGACTTCCGTCATAATACTGCCTCGGAAACCCAAGGAGGGGTCGTTATGAGTAGAATGCAACTGGATGAGAGTGAGTTTTTGTTGTTGTTGTGTTTGCCATGGTGTCAGATCTGACTCATAGGACCCCTCCTTGGGTTTCCAAGGTGGTATCACTATGGAAGTAGATAGTCCAACCTTCCTTCTGGGGAGTGGCTGGTGGGTTTGAACCGCTAGCCTTCTGCTTAGCAGCCAATGACTGGAACATAATTTGCACCCCAGAGGTTCTCCTGCCTTGAGCCTTTGTACTTTTGCCCCAGTCTGTCTTTGGCCATGGTCTGCTGAGAGCGGAGGGCAGGTTGAACAACCCTCAGGCACCTCTGAGTCAGGCAGTGGTCTGAGGTGGATTGCAAGTGTGGTCCACTAGTAAAAGCCAGTTGGGGACAGGCCACAAACACTGAAATGGTAAAAGGCATCCCAGGAGATCTGGGCTGGGCAACCACAACATTTGCTACAGTCTATCTATCTGTTGGGCCACTTGAACCTACTTATTTTTCCCATTAGGTTCACTATATTCTGCCATAGCTTTTCCAGGATTCTGATTGGTCGCAACTTCTGGGAAATGTTACAAAAGCAGAGTTAGTGGGATGAGCATTTTGTTCTAAGGGATGCCCCAGTGGGCCACACTGTGTAATAGCAGCCCTACCTCCTCACGAACCTAAGGGCCAATTTTCACTACCAGCCTGGTAGCTCCTTTCAGTGAGGTGAGACAGGGAAGTGCTAATGGGTCATAAGATTAAGTCATCTTTTGCTTGATCCTTCTGTTTTCAGTAAGATAGAATCTACCCTCAGCTATGTCTCTTGTTTCCTAGTTCATAGATTTCTCTCCAGAGAATAAACCTCCAACTTCCGCTATTATTACTGTGA